AAATTGCCAAAATTGAGGAACTCAGCCTCTCAAGTATCCATGCAAGCCCCGTTATGAACATACAACAACGCCAAGAGGATTGGATCTCAGATATCACCGCCTTCATCTCCACAGGGTAGCTACCCGAGAATGAGACCCGCACTAAACTGGCAAAGCTGAGGGCTCCTAGCTACACCATCGAGGATGGGAGGCTCTACAAACGATCTTACAATGGCACGCTACTTCGATGCCTTCATCAAGATGAGGCCGAGGTCGCAATGGAGGAAGTGCACAGTGGCACTTGCTCAGCTCACCAGGGACCGTTCTCCATGTCCCGAAGGCTCATTCTCCAGGGCTACTTCTGGCCAACCATGGCCAGAGATTGTGCTGACCTTGCCCGGAGGTGCACCGCATGTCAACATTTCCAGAAAGCCCCCGGCAGGCCAGCGGTCAACTATGCCCCCATCAGCACATCCGTCCCTTTTTCTCGATGGGGGATAGACCTAGTGGGCCCTCTGCCGAGGGGTACCTCCAACAACAGGTACATCATTGTGGCCATCAACTACTTTACCAAGTGGGTGGAGGCTGAGCCCCTCGCCAGTATCACAGAGGCGAAGTGCCGTCACTTCGTCCTCAAGAACATCCTCACAAGGTTTGGCGTCCCCCAGCAGATCATCTCCGACAACGGAACACAGTTTGAGGCAGCCCCCTTCTGTGCCCTTCTGGAGGCATGGGGCATCAAACACACCTTCTCCTCCGTTGCCTACCCTCAAGGCAACGGGCAAGTAGAGAATGCCAACCGGACCTTGCTCGAGGGCCTCAAAAAGAAGCTGGAGGCCGAGGGCGGTGGCTGGGTGGAAGAACTCCACAACATCCTTTGGGCCTACCGCACCACCCCTCGGCGAGCAACAGGTGAAACACCCTTCTCCCTCTGCTACGGTTTTGAAGCCAAAGCTCCTACGGAAGTCACCCTTCCCACCCGAAGGGTGATCCAATATGACCCCGAGGTCAACGACAGCAACATGGCCCTCGACCTCCACCTCATTTCAGAACGCCGGGAGCAGGCCTTCATCCGGGCAGAAAACTGCCAAAGGCAAGTCAAAAGCTACATCGACGCCAAAGTTCGCACCCGAGAATTCCAAGTAGGGGATTATGTCCTCCTCCGGAGGGAAGCCAGCCAACCAACCGAGGGAGGAAAAATGGCACCTAAATTCGAAGGCCCCTACATCATAGCAGCCATCATCAAACCTGGAACTTACAAACTCAAAACGCCCCAATGGAAAAGAGGTCCCTAGGCACTGGAATGTACACCATTTAGTTAAATTTTATCAATAATGTAAGAGCGGCCAAGCCCTCATAACTAGTGAATGTACTATCTTATGGCCCAAGGCCTCCAATTTCGAAGAATGAAGATACATTCAAGGCGCCAAGAACAAAACACTTATGAGCGGCCAAGCCCTCATACCAACTACAGGTCCCATGTGCTCTCAGTCAAGACCCTTCGGCACCCAGTGCCGGGGGTACATATCTCCGCCATCGACATCAAAAATAAGAACACCAAGTGTTCCTACAGAAGACCCTTCGGCACCCAGTGCCGGGGGTACATATCTCCGCCATCGACATCAAAAATAAGAACACTAAGTGTTCCTACAGAAGACCCTTCGGCACCCAGTGCCGGGGGTACATATCTCCGCCATCGACATCAAAAATAAGAACACCAAGTGTTCCTACAGAAGACCCTTCGGCACCCAGTTCCGGGGGTACATATCTCCGCCATCGACATCAAAAAAAAGAACACCAAGTGTTCCTACAGAAGACCCTTCGGCACCCAGTGCCGGGGGTGCACATCTCCGCCCTCAACATCGAAGATAAGAACACCGAGTGTTCCTACAGAAGACCCCTCGGCACCCAGTGCCGGGGGCACACATCTCCACCTTCAACATCAAAAAGAAAAGATAAGAACACCAAGTGTTCCTACAGAAGACCCCTCGGCACCCCGTGCCCGGGATATGCTCTCCTATCAACTTCCAAACATCTGTTGGGAAACACCAAGTGTTTCATTTGAAGACCCTTCGGTACCAGGTACCGAGGGTAGACACCTCCATCAACTGCAACAAAAGAGAACACCAAGTGTTCCTACAGAAGACCCCTCGGTACCAAGTACCGGGGGCTACACATCGAAACTAACACCAAGTGTTGTTTCTAAAAGCCGTACCCCACGAGGACGCATATACCGAAGGCGCCACCATCGGTGCCGACGGCACGTAGTGCCTCCGGCCATTTGCAACTAGTGTGCAAATGAAAACCCTTCCTTGAAACGCTTTCCGCGTCACTACCCCCAGGGTATGACAGGCATGAGAAATGCCCAGGATTCGACTTTCAAAAACGGAACGCTATCCGCGTCATCACCCCAAGGGTATGACAGGCACGAGAAATGCCCAGGATTCGACTTCCAAACCGAAACGCTCCCCGCGCCACCACCCCAAGGGTGTGGCAGGCCACGGACCATGTCTAGCGCCGAGGGGGCGACTTTCAAAAATGAGGCACTTTCCGCGCCATCCCTCAAGGGGAGGCAGGTTACGGACCACCATATCTTGTGCCCAGGAAACGACCCTCGATCCCCTCAGAACTCGGAAGGTTAACCCGAGGGAGGAGAGCCATTGGTGTATTCTGATGGTCTCCTAACAGGCCCAGCCTTACCAAGAAACCAAGTTTCTTGATGCCTTCCCTTCACCACCCAAAAAAAAGGGGGGGTGAAGGGGAGTGAACTCAGCGAGAAATCAAAGAGTACACTCCAACAGATCACAAACATGCCGAGGGCTCCCCACGGGAACACCTCCGGTAAGCGAAGGCTCCTATTTCCCGAAGGATACTACTCAAACAAATATCATCAAGAAGGCTTCAACAATGCGAAGGGACTGGACTATCCAAAGTCTACTAAACGGTAATTCAAACAAATACCGAGGGCACCCTACCCCATTACAAGGGACACAACTGGCTAAGTCAGACTCTACAACTTTTCAAAGTGTATGCCGAGGGCACACACTCCTCATTGGCTTTCCTCACAACAACGGGATTCCACACTTTTCCTAAGTCCACACTTTTGGAAAATGACAGCAACCGGAGGTTAATATGTCACCAGACAACCGAAGGCATCTCTTACAAATCTTCAAAAGCCAACCAAGGGGACTGTTCCAAAATATTTTCCCCTCGGATAGACTCCTCACTGACCGAAGGTCCAACATCTACGACACATATTGGGCCCTCGATCAAATGCTCATACAACTCAAGGGCCCCACGATCACCCGAAGGATCCTGTTCATATACTCGGAGGGCCCTACATCCGGAAGCTCGACATCACTCTACGCTTAAAAAATATTCTAAGTCCTAAATGAGCAGCCCCCGGGCATCTCGCAAAGTGATGTAGAGTCAGAGGGCACCTATCACCCGAAGGCTCCCAAGGAAAAATCTACACTTAGAATATTTTCTAAGTCCTACATGTTTTTCCCCGGTCAACTACTCATACGTCAAGAAGGGATGCCATCTCCCGAAGGCTCCCAAGGGAAAATCTACACTTAGAATATTTTCTAAGTCCTACATGTTTTTCCCCGGTTAACTACTCATACATCAAGAAGGGATGCCATCTCCCGAAGGCTCCCAAGGGAAAATCTACACTTAGAAGATTTTCTGAGTCCTACATATTTTTCCCTCGGTCAACTACTCATACATCAAGAAGGGATGCCATCTCCCGAAGGCTCCCAAGGGAAAATCTACACTTAGAAGATTTTCTGAGTCCTACATATTTTTTCCCCGATCAACTACTCATACATCAAGAAGGGATGCCATCTCCCGAAGGCTCCCAAGGGAAAATCTACACTTAGAAATCTTTCTAAGTCCTACATATTTCACCCTCATCTCAAGGGACTTAATAGCCGAAGGCTACCTATCAATCAAAGGCTACAGTACACAAGGAATCAACACTTAGAAAATTTTTCTAAAGTTCTAACTTTTGCTGAGCCCTCGGTTGTATGTCCAGCATAGGGTGCCCAACTACCGAAGGCTACAACCATATTCAAACACTTAGAAAATATTCTAAGTCCTAGACAAACATTCAAAAATACCGAAGGCATACACTCAAGGAAAACGGAGGCATACATTCAAGAAGGAAGGAATTGGAGAAAACAAGTCATATATACAAAGCCCGAAGGCAATCATTCAATCATCAAAAAAGGAGCAAATGTAATTACGAGTAAATGTTACAGAGAGGCCGAAGCCGAAGGATCAAAGGTATCCGTTACAACAGAAATTGTAAATATTAACTAAGTACAAATTTTCTCTGCGGCTTCAGCATCGTTATCTCCGGGGGCATCTTCCACGGCAGCTTTGGAGGAGACTTCTTCCCCGACAGCATCACCACTGACGGCTCCGCCCCCATCACCCCCCATCATCACATAATCATATATTGTCGGCCGCTCTTCGCCCGGGGGGAGGGGAACTCTCACATCTGGTTGCAATGGAGGGAGGCCGTATGCTGAGGGGTCGAATTGTTCGAGGGACACGCCAAAGTGCCTGGCGAGCCTCCGGTAGATCAGGTGTTGGGTAAAGAACTCACCCCCTGGTAGTAGGCGTCGCCCCTGTCTGTCAGCCAGTCAACCCCGGGGCCTTCTACCCAAGCATCCACCGAGGCTGCCACCACGGAGGCCACCCACTCCTTGTGGCCCTCGGCCCTCCAGCCCTCGGCGAGGAACTCAGCAACTGCCTCCCCTCGGGCCTCGGCCACAGCTCTCTCCTTGGCGGTTTGGGCTTCATCAGCAGCTTTTTTCACCGCCTCGGCAGCAGCCCTCTCGGCCTCTGCCTTGCCCTCGGCTATGCCGTCAGCCTTGGCCTTCTCCGCCGCCGCCTTCGCCTCCCGAAGGGCCTCCTCCAGCTGGGTAGCATGCTTCATCGCCTCGGAGTTCTTACGAATCAGCCCCTCCATCTTCTTATCTTGGGCGGCCTCGTGAAGGCGCCTTTCCTCGCGCCTCCGGGCCTGTTCCCCGAGGGCTATGCAGGCCTGCAAACAGTGATCAGAGGGGTTAGATTATTCCTCAGGAAAAATAATACTAAACTGATAAGAGAAGGAAAAAGGAAGCAGATACTTACAGTGAGAGAGGACCGGAGGATCCTGTTCTCGAAGGGCATCATCGTCGTAGGTCTCGAAGACTTCCCTGTCCATCTTCGAGGTGATGCCCCGCAGGAAGGCCCTCGGCTCGGCAGTGCCGTGCATCAGTGAAGCGTCGGGGGCAAAGGAGAGCTGACGGACCTCCCGGGGTAATTCCTCCGGGGATGGATTCACCAGAGCCCTCGGGGTGACCGAGGCCAGGGGCCCATCAGCGGCGGGCGTGTCATCAATAACTATGAGGGGGGCCGCCCCCTCGACAGTGCCCCCAGCGGCTTTCTGCTTCTTGGTGGGGGGCTCCACCCCCTTATCATTCCTCTTCTTCTTCACGGCCGCCTCGGGTTTCGACCCCCCCGGTCCCCACGGCAGCATGGACGTCCCCGGCGGAAGGCTCTACGACCTTCGGAAAAAAACGCGTCGGCTGGCTTCTGGCCCGAGGGCCCCTTCTCCTTTGACTGGGTCTTGCCCTTCCTCTTTGCGAACAGGGCGTTGGCATTCATCCTGCTACCTACAAAGAAACAACAAGTTAAAAGGTTAGAATCGAGGGGTCAGAGACACGAAACAAACATGACAAAAAATCTCTAAGTACAAAAATGTAAAGCCCCCGACCACTACCTCCTGCTCCCACGAAGGCTTTATCGTAGAGGGGATACTTCTCATCGGTCTCCCCAATGAACCGATACCTCAGGAACCCGAGGGCATATAGGTCTTCCTCAAGGATGCACTCCTTGATGGTTATGTTCTTTTCCCGACCCTCGGGAATCTCGGCAATCTTCATACCATCCTCCTCGAGGGCGGCACTCTTGACCTTCACGTGGCGCCGGAAGCGATTCCGTAACTCCCTCGGGAAAGGGCTGTCGGTCAGTCTGATGTAGCACCATCGCTCTCTCCACCCTTTGTTGGAAGAAGGGGCCTCGGTGAACAGTTTGAACTGGGCTATCTGCTGTAAGTTTGCATAGCCCTCGGCATTGGTATGGCCCCCCCGGCATAGATTGAAACTTTGGGGGTCAATTGACAGGGAACTATGTAACCCCCCGGAGTCTGCACAGGTTCACAAACCCGGCTATGTATGAGTGGCTGTTGGGGGTCAATTGACAGGGAACCAGGCCAGTGTACCTCAGGTACTCCCGGAGGAACGGATGGAGAGGGAACCGGAGGCCCATTGAAACCGAGAGCACGTGCACGACTATGCATCCCTCGGGGGGCCGGGATAACACGTCATCGGGACCTGGCTCGACTACTACGGCCGAGGGCCCTACGTGCAACTGGGTGATGTAGAAGTCCGCCTTGTCAGCTTGGGACTTAATCTCCAGAGCGGCGGTGTCCAGGAAGGAGTGACCCTCCGGCAGATCAACTGGGCCCCCTTGGTCGACGGCCCTTACTTTCTTCTGGGGGCCAGTGATAAGCACAATAATTACTTATGTTTTACATAGGTAACTATATTTATCCGCACAAAAATATAGAGCGAAAACAGGTAAATATTCCAAAGTGTTCAAAAATGTGGAATATGGCTAGGAGCAACAAAAAAGGAGTCAAAAGTCAAAAGGGATCGAAAATCGGCACTTCTGGATAAATCGGAGGCACGAAGTTGAGAAGAAAAAGGAAGTAAACAATTTGGCGCAGTAACCGGCGCCGGACACACTCCAACCGGCGCCGGTTGGATTTTATTTTCCGAAAAAAATACACATGACCGGCGCCGGTCAGTCCAGAACCGGCGCCGGTTGGGTCGGATTCTGCTAGAAACACAGCAACGTGCTAGACGATTTTTGATGGGAAAACTTCATCTTCCTCAATGCTAATCAAATATTGCTTCCATATCTGATTGTTGGGTTCGAATAGACTAAAAGATGCCAATCTTTAGCCTATATAAACCCCTCAATTCATCATGCAAATACATTCCATTCCATAGATTAATTCTTAGCTTTTATATTTTTGTTCTTGATATTTTCTTCAAGTTCTTGAGGAGGGAAGTTCATCCTCCGAAATCATTGGTGTTTAGGTATTATTTCCTTTGTAATTTCATGTTCCATTACATTCATTATTGTATTGTGATTAATATGAGCATTAGAGGCTAATTTCTTAGCTAAGGCTAGGGATGAACTTCTATGCCCATTAAGTGTTTTATAAAAGTTCTAAACCAATAAATTGTGATTTATCCTTTATATATTGATTGTTTATGACTATGGTGTACAACATAGAAGTATGTTAAATTTAGTTTATACTTGCAATTAACGTTGAAGTCTAAACTATGAACACTAAAGGACAAACATATATAGTACCGAGAATAGAAATATATCCGGTCTTATATGATACGGGTGTGATGTCTTGATATTCAACGGGGTTTTCGGTAGATGAATGTAAGCCGTAACGGGACTTACACGTAACGAAAACCACGCTCTCGCTGCCTTAACCGGAGTTGAGATATATTAGCGACATCGTATTCATAATTATTGGCAAAGAACTAATATTCAACCCTATTTAAGCATTTAAGTGATTCCCGAAGCCTTAGTTGTTGTTATCATTTATCTTGAACTCAAAGTTAGTTAACAATTATCTTGTTGAACAAAAAGTGAAAAAACCAAAAATATAAAACACAAATCAAAATCCCTGCACTTTATTCAATTCTTCATTTAAAGTTATCTACTCTCGGACTTGAATTAAACAACGTTTCCTTGTGGATTCGATCCGGTATTTTACCGGAATTTATTACTATATCGGCACTTGTACACTTGCACGTTCAAACCGATCAAGTTTTTGGCGCCGTTGCCGGGGAAACGGTCTTGTTTAATAAAGTCCTAAAAAAAACTAATAAACCCTGAATTTATTCTTCACAACTTCACTTGATCTTGGAAGGATTTATTTTTGTGTGTGTAGATATTCCTTTGTGTTTGCATGCATTTGCGAAGTCAAGGTTCTAAATTTCTTGAACCACTTGATCTTGAAATAGAAAGAACGTGCAAACACATTCGGAAGGAACAAAAAGCTACAAAGATGTTGCCAACATTGAACGAAAGGAAGAGACCCGTGGTGGCCACCACGCCATCTTGCATCACTTTGAGCGAGGAAGCAAGAGACTATGAGCTAAGGCAAAGCTACTTCAACGCTATGCCTCAGTTTCATGGTTTACTTGGGGAAAACCCACTCAACTTCATCACGGAATTCTACGGATTCATTCAAGGAATCCCTAGAAATGGCTTGGCGGAGGATCAACTTAAGCTCAAATGCTTCCCTTATACTCTTAAAGGGGCGGCAAGAGGATGGTTCCTAGAACAAGCTCCGGCAAGTTACACAACATGGGAAGGTATATACAATGCTTTCATGTCTAAATACTACACGCCCACCATGACTCAAGAGCTTAGACAACGCATTTTCAATTTCAAACAACAAAATGGTGAGCTCTTTCAAGATGCATGGCGGCATTTCAAATCATTGCTAAGGGAATGCCCACATCACCGCATTCCCCTAGACCTTCAAATTGATACGTTCTACAATGGTTTGAATGCATCTTGCCAAGCCATTGTGGACAACCGAGCCGAGGGCTATATTGGCAACAAGAATGAAACCGAAGCACTCCGAATCATTGAATCCATTGCTTCGAATCCTCAACTCCAAGGAGGAGATTACAAAGTGGTCGGGATTAATGAAATCTCCATCACGACGGAGATAAACAAAAGGCTTGAAGAAATGGAATCAAAGATTGAACACAAGTTCCAAACGGCTCTACAAGCCGTATTGGGAGGAGTCAAGCAAATAGCCAACGTAGAGAGCATACCAAGTCCGGAAAGTGATTTATCCCAACATCTTGAAGAGATAAATTATATGAACTCTTACGGGAATCGGGGGAACAATAACTATTCAAATCAACAAAGGTGGAAGCCACAAGCTAGTTCCTCACAACCCCAATCCGGAGCACCTAATTTTGGGCAAACCAAGGAGACCACCATGGAGGATATGATGCAATTCATGTCCAAAAGCATGGCAAGCATGAAGGCCCAAAATGAGGAGAATCAACATAGAGTGGAGGCATCCATTGGGAATCTTCACTCTCAATTCACCAAGTTGGATCTTCGCTTTGAAGATCAAAATATAAAGCTTAATCAACGCATCGACACCATTGAGCAATACACCAAGGCATCCATTCGGAATCTTGAAGTTCAAATGGGACAACTTGCCCAAAAAGTAAGTTCTAGGGAGCAAGGCAAATTTCCTACAACCACGGAGATGAATCCGAGGGAAAACGTAATGGCCATTACCACAAGGAGTGGTAAGACAACGGAGGATCCAAAGATGCCGGAAGAGGAGGAGATCCCGGAAAAACAAAACGAAGGTGAAAGTGAGGAGCATATGATGCCACCATCGAACATGGCTAATTATGTTCCTCCCATTCCATATCCTCAAAGGTTAAAGAAAAAGAATGATGGTGCTCAATATAGAAAATTTCTTGATATTTTTACTAAATTGAGCATCAACATTCCATTTGCCGAAGCTATAGCGGAAATTCCATCTTATGCCAAATTCTTGAAGGGTATTCTCTCAAATAAGAAAAAATTGGCGGAATTTGCTACCATTGCCCTCACGGAGGAGTGTAGTGCTATCCTACAAAACAAACTCCCTCCTAAATTGAAGGACCCCGGAAGCTTCACGGTACCGTGTTCTATCGGCAAAATTGGAGAGGTAAGATCCCTTTGTGATCTTGGTGCTAGTATCAACCTCATGCCCCATTCCTTATTTAAAAAGCTTGGTGTGGGGGGACTGCAATCTACTACAATAGCTTTACAACTAGCGGATAGATCAATCCGCTACCCTATTGGAGTTATGGAGGATGTGCTTGTCAAAGTTGGGAAATTCTATTTTCCTGTGGATTTTCTTATTTTAGAAATGGAGGAAATGGAGATCCCGATTATACTTGGAAGAGCATTTCTAGCCACTGCAGCAGCCCTCATTGATGTCAAAAACGGAATTGTCAAATTCCGTGTTGGAGATGAAGAACAAGAGTTTCATGTTTGGGACTCCCTGAAAAAGCACCATGATGAACCCTCTTGTTTTAGCATTGACATTCTTGACACATTAACTCAAGAATGCTTTGGAAAGATGATTCATGAAGATCCCTTGAAGACTTGCATCATGCTAAGGTGCAATGAAAAAGAAGAAAGCCATGAACTTCTTGAAGAAGTTATGTACTTGCAAGCCGGAGCTCCTTTCAAACATTTCCGACAAAAATTTGAAGATCTTGGAACAAGTAAGTCCACATTAAAACCATCTATTGAAGTTCCACCAAAACCATCTTTGAAAACTCTACCGGAGCATCTCAAATATGCATTTCTTGGAAATAACTCAACT